TTTGGATGTGATAAACTCAAAGAAAAACTAAAATAAAGAAAAACTAAATCAAAAGGAAAGATGACAGTAATGAATAACACGCGTTGAAATTAAAACAAAAAATCAATATAATGACAATGCTAGGGTCTTGACTTTATTCTATTGCGATTATGTTTCTTCGTAGTAATGTGCCTAACCTAACTCAACGTTCTCAAGAACCTAGAGTGATGTGTATCCTTATACCCTCTCTTGAGTGTCGCATAAAGAATGTGTAGGTGATATCAAGCCTATATCTCTATATAACTATTCACCCCTACCTTCATTAAGTTCCACTCTAGAAACAATTCCTAGAATTCCACTTCTCAATTTCACAACCTAAAATTGTTTCGGCTACCTAGGCAATGTTTATCTCTCGACCTCACACCAACCTAAGTTGTTCTACCTATTTCTTGATTGCTTGAACGTTCCTCTCTCGAGTATTAATCCTCACAATCTAAATTTGCCCAATTCATAATCTCACAAAGCATAGCAATATGTAAATCATAGATTCGGCAGCAACAATTCAAAATAGAACACAAAAGAAACGAAGAGCTTTAATTAAATGCACATTAAAACGTCGAAACAAATATCACAAATAGAGATTCATCTAAACCCTAACAAATAAGAAAATTAGCCACACATCATGTGGTTCACAGTCTCAAAATAATATTCAAAATCTAGAAAAATACAAGAAGAAAGAGAAGAAAGAACGCTTGGAATTCTTGAAGAACTGCTCTAATTTCCAATCTTCTCCGATTCAGTTTTTCTTCTTTTGCAAACCCTTTTTCTCCCCCTTTTTTCAGTTTTTAGTCTCTCCTTTTATATCCCACATCCAGCACGCCTCCCAAGAAGCCAAGTTGACTTTCCATCGAAATCTGCGCCCCACCTAGGGCAAAACACGTGTTTTTAATAAAATTGGGAGGCGACATATCGCCTAGAAACAGGTGACATATCGCAGCTCTCGCTGTTATCTGTGCACCAGACTAGGGCAGGCGGCATATCGCCTCTAATCAGGTGACATATCGCCTGTAGGCAGCGACATATCACCGCAAAGGAAGTGACATGTCGCAGCTCTCGCTGTTCCTTCGTACAAGTTTGCTCGATTCCGCTCCTTTTCGAGCCGCATCGCCATTTGAAGGCGCCATATCGCCTCGTTCTCCATCTTTTTAATCCAAAATACCTCAAATCTCAGCGATTCACCCATTCCTACACACTCAAGAGAAAGTCATCAAATGCACATAACAACTTGAGGAAAAACACGCTGAAACTAGCTAAATGAGTAACGAATGAGTGCATAAATTACGCACTCATCAGTGGCTTATAAGTGTCATGGGTTCTTTTTCAGTCAGCAATTGCTTGAAAGTTATAACTTAGTGTGGTCAATTTATGAGTCCACTCTGCTTCCTCCTCTTAAAGGTTCTTTTAGGCGATCTGTCTCATAGGATTGTGCGTGTCTCTGCTAGTATAAATACCAAAAAAAAAAAAAAAACATAATTGTGCTGATATTTTCTGAATTTATGAGCATAATTCCTAATGTGTAGAAAGATTGGAACTTGAGAAATAATTCTCCTTTTTTTGATGTAATACCTTAAACCTTATGTATATGAATATGTGTTTCATGTATGACAAGGAATTATTGAGATTCCTTATTTAAGTTATTGGTCAACGACGTTGTCATTACTCGATTATTTCGATAATTAGCTTATGATATTATACGATGTGCCTTTAAAGATTTGAGAAATTGCAAGTTACTTAAATTTTTAAATAATTTAGTGAAGATCATGAAACACCATTATGGTATGAGATCAACGTGAAAGTGGTGGTATAAATTATTTTTACGCGAGAGATAGTGTTAACTAACGAAATAAAATTTTAGATGGAATTTCTAGTATTGAATTCTTAATCAGAGCATTAAAATTATTTAAGGAGGAAACTTTTATAAAAATCTAATTTCGGGGCCAAATTTATAATTTGGGCAATTACGGAACCTAAGACATGATGTTTTTTAAAAAATGCATGATTTTAAAATTTTTTAGGGTTAGAAATAGAAAAGATATTGGGTTACTAAAATTTTATGGTTGGTTGTTAAGAGTTCACTACCCACAACAACTAATAAGATTTTAATTTAGCAAAAAAAAAAAAAAAAAAAAAAAAAAAAAAAAAAAAAAAAAGAGGAAAAAGGGAATAAACAACAAGAGAAATAAAGAAAGAGAGGAAAGAGGGTATCAACTAAAAACATACCCTATCAAATTTTAGAGTCTAAAATCAGCTCTCTTTCATATCTCTCTCTTTCCTCAACCATTTCCGCAACTCCCTTAACCCCTTAAAAGAAAACAACCTTCCACACTTCTAAACTTGAAAGTTCTCCATCCTTTCTCTTCCTAATCCATAGAGGAAGCAAACCCTTGCTTTTCCCCTTGTTTCAAACACGTCTGGTAGCCCAAAAACCCTTCCAAAGTTGCTGTCAAAATGGAATCCGAGAAAAAGGTTAAAGCTTCTTCAACGTAGAGTAGGGTTTTTGGTAATGTAGCTCTGTCAATCACTTTCATAACATATTTTCTTCTATAAGCAGCAACTAACACGAATTTTCTTGTGTTTTATCTTCAATATTATTCCTCAAATGCATCCATTACAGCTTTATATTTTAAGTTTTTCTAAATCTTTTCTATACTGTTTTCTCTCAGATATTATTTTTCCTTTAAAATAGACATCCTAAACTTTAAGTGGGTTCAAAAATCACAGAAAAATGATTTTTCTGGAATTAGTCATGTTTTTTACAAGTTCAGGTAAAAAGCTTTAAATTCCTGACGGAAATTTTTATTTGGATTTTGGGCTGATTTTGATGCGACTAATGAATCTGAAACCTAGCATATAATAGCTCTAAAGAAAGCCCCATAAGTCTACTTTGATTTGGGAGTGGTTTTCTAATTTTTAGAATTTCCTACAATTTATTATAAATTTGCTCGTAACAGAGGTCGAATCTGTCCAATTGACAGAGTTTGTCCTAAGTGACCAACTTTTGCAATTTTGTTAGACTTGAGACTTGGGGAAAGTTTTGTGAGATTTTTCAGCTTGATGTAGTCAAAATACTTATGCAATGGTGGTCTTTCAAAAAGTTAATTGTTAGATGGATTTATAATGGGAGATGGCTAAAAATGATAAGTACACTATGATTTTGATGTTGAATGTTAAATTTTAGTTTTACTATGTTTGTTTGATTTTGATATATGACTAGCCTAAATGTAAGATATTTCGTGATGGGATTAAAGCCAGTAATTATTAATAAATAGTCACTTAACAATTAATGTGATATGCTTTCTTATTATGATTTTAATACAAGGCATAAAAAAAAGATATGTTTTTAAGCATTGTACTGAGACTAATGTCTCTTTATGTTCATGTTATGTACTGAGACCGAGGTCTTTTTATATTCATGTTATGTTATGATACCACGGGTTAACTTGGTTAGGGTCGTTCCACCAGTCCTACGTTGGTTGTGCGCAAGGTACGTACGCAGGGCCCAAATTTATGGGTTTCAAGACAATATTTACATGTTTTATAAAATATCTATGTATGAAACTACCTATATTATTTTATGAGTTATTAACTTATACTTGCTCAACGTTAGCTCACTATATTAGTTTGTGTTGTAGTTCCCGGTAAACGACCATTAATCCAAGAGTAGGACATGGATGGACGATCCAACACGATGGCGCATGTAGTACAAGGGTGATGGGTCGAGCCGTTGAAAGTTTATTTTAAAATTATGTTTATTTTTTTTGGATTGTAATATTTTAGTGGATTTCCTAAGTAGCTAAAGATACAACGAAACTGACATGAAGCTATCTAATTAAGTATCCAGTAATTATCTAAGGAATTAAGTAGGTTGAGAAATTGGTTCAAAAAGCCCAATTGTAGAATTACAAGTTTTAATTTCCCTTATTTCATTTATAAGGAGTTTTCCTTGAAAATAACATTTTAAACAAGATATATCTATTGTAAATGTTTAAGACACTTTATAAAAAAATGGTCTATTTAAAATGCTTATATAATTTTATGTTTCCCTCAAATTTTACAACAAGATTTTATTCAAGCTCAATGAGAACCTCTCTCATTTGTTAGAACCGATCAAGTTAACAAAAAAGGAGACAAATCCTTCATCAAAAGAGTTAAGTTCCAAGATAGGAACTATCAATTAAAGATTCTAATAACAAGAGATTATCACGACGCAAGACGTTACATTTTGAAAAGTATTTTCAATATTTATTTTGATGTTCAAACTTTAACCTATGTACTTTAACCTTAATGCTTTTGAAAAAAAAATTATCGCAAAATTTTTCTTAATACATTCTTTTAAGTAGAAATATGTTTCATGTTTATGTAATAAAAACCAAGTAGTAACGGGTTGTCAGATCGGGTCGTTACATTTGAACTGCTTTAATATATGCACCAGAAGAAAAAAAAAATGTTAAAAAGTACACCGTGTCTCGGTCATTTTTCAAACTGTTAGTGCAGTACTAGTCTGAGAGATGTTGTAAAATGAGTGTAAGCAGATTTGGACTGTTAATATTCATCTCTGCTGGGCTGCTCAACATGACACATACATATATACAACATTAGTGTTGTTCCCATCTCCCACTTCCCATGGTAAAATATGAGTTTCAGTTTCACACAGTTGTATAACACTGAAAAATGGTAATTTGTATCATGTTAAGTATGTGATTATGTTCTAGAATTATCTTTTTTTTTTCCCTTAAGGGTAATGTTTCAAGTATGCGAATAAGTTCAAGCGGTAACACGTCTTTTTGCTTATTTTATGATGTTTTAGAGTCAAGTGTATGACATGTAAGTGAGGACCTGCAAACTAGTCAATAGCTTGCCGTATCCTCCAAGGTGCATGCTCAGAGCTGAGTCAAAAGGTTTTATTTCATATTATATTTGCTCTCTCTGACCAAAAAAACCAAGTCTCATTACCAATTATCCTCTGGTTCTTATCAGCTACAAATAGAAACAAATGGCCAATTTTCCTTTTGTTCTCATCACTAATATTTTCTTCTCTCTCTTCCATACAACTTTCTCTAAAGTTGATAGCATCAATCTATTCCAATCTATCAGTGATGGAGAAACTCTGGTTTCTAACGAAGGAATCTTTAAGCTTGGTTTCTTCAGTCCCGGAACTTCAAAGAAACGCTATTTGGGGATTTGGTACAAGAACATCCCGGTTCAAACTGTTGTTTGGGTTGCAAACAGATGCGACCCGATTAACGATTCATCGGGCTTGTTTAGGATCAATAGCACAGGGAGTCTTGTGCTCTTGTATCAGAATAAGAGTGTTGTTTGGTCTACGAGCTCGTTTAAAAAAGCCCAGAAACCAATAGCACAACTTCTAGATTCTGGAAATCTTGTACTAAGAGACGAGGAAGACACAAACTTGGGGACTTATTTGTGGCAAAGCTTTGATTATCCTTCGAATATAATCTTACCGGGTATGAAAATAGGGTGGGATATGAGGACAGGTCTTAAGCGCCGTGTATCGGCATGGAAGAATACGAATGACCCTTGTCCTGGAGATCTTACTTTTGGGGTCGAGTTTGATCCACAGCTTCAGACGTTCCCTGAACCTTCTCTTCGGAAGGGCTCTGCGAAATTCCATCGTATTGGACCGTGGAATGGCCTTCGTCTCGGTGGCCAGCTAGAACTAAGGCCAAACGCACTTTACAGTTTCGACTATGTTTACAACAATGATGAAATGTATTACACATACAACGTCAAGAATAAGTCCTTGATCTCAATAGTAGTTGTAAACCAGCTTACTAGCATGTGTCAACGTGTTACGTGGATTGATGCTGATCAAACTTGGAGGGCTCAGGCATCACTACCCAGAGACTACTGTGATAACTATGGCATATGTGGAGCCAACGGAATTTGTGACATAACCACCAGTACAAGCTGCCAATGCCTAAAAGGATTCAAGCCCAAGATTCATGAAAAATGGAATTCAATGGACTGGTCTGAAGGATGTGTACGAAATAATGCAACGAGCTGCCAGGAGAAAGATAAAGACAAATTTGTGAAACTTTCTGGCCTGAAACTTCCGGACACTACATATTCTTGGATGAACACAAGTTTGAACCTTAAAGAATGTGAGGCTAAATGCTTGAGCAACTGTTCTTGTATGGCGTATGCAAACACAGATATCCGAGGTAAAGGCAGTGGTTGTGTCATCTGGTTTGGTGATTTAATCGATATTAGACAAATTGCAGGTGCTGGACAGGATCTCTATGTTCGAGTAATAGCTTCAGAGTTAGGTAGTGCTAACTTTGAAATTTTTTTTTTTCAAGTTTATTTACTTTATTTATTGTTTCGTTTGTATCTCTGGCCTGCGATATTGATTTACTCCATTTTCTTTGTTGAAATAACCCAAAGCAAAAGGCGATCGAGATTTGATGGCGGTGATTATTGCAAGTGTTGTTGCAGTAGTATCTGGGATGTTCTCAGCTGGTTATTATATTGGCAGGAGGACGTTAAAAGGTAATCTGACGCTTATCCTGATCATCTATGAAAAACCTTATTACCAAATTGCTGAATTGAACTTCTGAAGAGATATTCTGGTTTCCAGTTGGAATCATATCATATGTAATATGCAATTCATCTTTTCATGTTATTGATTACATATACTAACTATATTGTAAAAAACAGAAAATAATAGGAGAATAACTCCGGAGAATGGAGCCCGGGAAGTAGACTTGGAGCTCCTGCTGTTTGATCTGTCAACAATAGCTACTGCCACTGATAATTTTTCAATGAACTATAAGCTTGGAGAAGGTGGTTTTGGACCTGTATACAAAGTAAGCCTTTTGTTTTCTAGTTTATTACTAATTAGAAGAAAAAGGAAAATTATTAAGAACGATGAGATGAGTTTTGTCCTTTCTTTATTTCTTTGTTTCTTTCTTTCCTTTTTTTTTTCTTTTTGACATGAGATTTCAGGGTAAGTTAGAAGACGGAGAAGAAATTGCTGTTAAGAGACTTTCTATGACTTCTAGACAAGGAATAGACGAGTTTAAGAATGAAGCAGCATTAATTGCAAAGCTGCAGCATAGGAATCTTGTGAAGCTTCTTGGTTGCTGCATTCAGGGAGAAGAGAAATTATTAGTTTATGAATATATGCCAAACAAAAGCCTTGACTCTTTCATTTTTGGTTAGAATCCATCTGAATACACTGCAAACATATATTAAATGATTTTATCAAATTTAATGGAACACTTATAATTTTGTGTGACCGAGATGATTCTATCAAATTTAACGGAACACTCATAATTTTTGTGGCCGACAATGTTGTGTAATAGCCTACATTAACTTGAGGAAGAACTTTTTTCAGATCAAGTGCGAGGTGAACTACTAGATTGGCCGAAGCGCTTCCAAATTATTTGTGGTATTACACGGGGCCTTCTATACCTTCACCATGATTCGAGATTGAGAATAATACATAGAGATCTCAAAGCTAGTAACATTTTACTTGATACTGAGATGAATCCCAAGATTTCAGATTTTGGTATGGCTAGAGTTTTTGGAGGAGATCAGCTGGAAGGAAGCACAAACAGAGTAATGGGAACTTAGTGAGTACTCCAACAATGCTCTTTATATGATTCTAGCACTTCTTTCCAAATAGAGATTCTTTATTGAAGTTTATGTAAATAATAATTTTCAACTTTGTATGCGTGGTACTAAAATATTAACCTATAATCTTTTATATGTATGCAGTGGCTATATGGCACCAGAATATGCTTACAATGGCCACTTCTCAATCAAGTCTGATGTCTTTAGTTTTGGTATAATGGTATTGGAGATTGTAAGCGGAAAGAGAATTAGTGTCTTTCGCCCACAAAGAAACAGCCTTACACTCACTGGATATGTAAGTGTTGAAAAACCACATTTCTTACATGGACATGTTGACCTCTAAGGAATACCGATTTTGATTTTGTGAAGTTGTTGGTAGTATTTTTTCAAAAAAAAAAGAAAAAGAAAAAAAGAAACAGCTTTCTTTTCACTCTAAACTAAAAACGAAAGGTCTCATTTCTTTTCCTGTAATCGTTTGAAGGACAAAAATGACCTTGTTGTCACGTAGCACATCAACATGACAAAATCAGCATATAATCTTGTCGACTTTTCATGTAATATGCGACACAATTGTCATGCAGAAGCAATTTTACTAATTAGAGGATCTAAGTGTCCTTTCTTTTCTTTTTTTTTTTTTTTTCTTTTCGAGGAGAAAAGAAAAGGAACCAGTGCTTTATTTTCCAGTTTTTTGTAGAGGAAGGGGTTCTCCCTAAACATCCTTTTATAAGTATAGTTTGATCAATTACTTTCAGTCTGTACTTGATGAGAATTTACTGAACTACAACAAATTGATTTTTGGTTTGGAAATTTAGGCATGGAAGCTGATGAAGGCTAGCAGGGAAATTGAACTGCTTGACGCTTGCTTAAGGGACTCGTACGATTCATTCCAAGTGTTGCGTTGCATCCACGTCGGCCTCTTATGCGTGCAGCAACGTCCTGCAGATAGACCAAGCATATCATCTGTAGTTGTGATGTTGGGCAGTGAGAGTGAGCTACCTCATCCTAAAAAACCAAGCTATTTCATGGAAACAGATCTACCACAAGAATGTTCGGAGTCACCTACATCAAACCATATAACCATGTCAGTGGTAGGGGGTCGATGACGACTAATCGTTTTTCATGCATTACAAATATGCCACATAAGTTTCAGAATACATTTGAGTTTAACCTCTCTGATTTTGTATATAGTTGGTGGTAAGAGGATATGATGTCGTGGCTAGCGAGATTGTATTTTTTTTTTTTTTTTTTTAGTATTGTACCATTGTTGGGAAATAGCTTATGAAACAACGTTATAACCGAGGTGAATTTTGATTTCTTTCTGTCATTTTTGTCTTGAACTGCCTAATCTGGTTACAAATATTTTCCATATATCAATCTTGATCAATCTTGATTGTAATACTGATTACCTCTTTCGGCTCAAATTCTACTAATCAATCTTGATTGTAATACCTCCTCGGTAATGACACTAAAATTTATTTAACGCCCAAATGTGTTGTACATAGCGGTAAATTGTAAAACAGAATGGTGATCGTATTCACAAAGAGGTGACAAAAACAAACACGGAAGAATAACAGAAAATGAGCATTAGAGAGATAAGCGAAAGAATAAATCAAACCCTCATGTTAATTTCCATGAAAATTATTATTATAAATTATCTAAAATTGACAATATATCTCTCGACAATACTGTGATAAGAGATTAACTCATAAAAGAATTCTACTAAAATAGTTCTGAACTTATATAAAAGTTGGGCACATGATACTTTGAAATAAATAAAAGATAAGAGAATTTGATTCACTCTTTACTCATGTAATGACTGAGAAAATTTTAAACTTTAAATAATACAATTTATGTATTTAAGGTAAGGATTTTCCTAGAAAATATTATGCTATATTTTGTGACTGAAGGATTTATGAAATTAACATCTGTATTCCTAAATTCTATAGCAAATTTCATGCTAAGTTCATGTTTTACGATCAAGTAAATTCGATCGATAAATTCTCGCCGTACTTTAGGGCGGAAGAATTTTCAGTACATATATAGTTTGAGAATCTTAATTTCAAGAATCTCAAAGCACAACATGATGTTAGCAGCGTATAAAAAAAGACTCTGACATTTTAAAAGGAGAGAAAATCCTTAATTGCCGGATAACTAGGTTGAAGTCACGAGTAAAATACTTATAGTAGAAGGGGTACAATGTGAGCTCAAGAGTTGACACCGTCAGAAACAATGTCATTCTTGGAATATAATGCAGAAAAGTTAAATTTAGAATTTGTTCAGTCTAGAATTAATTTCAAGACTTGAAACAGTTCAAAATATTACGCGACTAAGAATTTAATGTGATATCGAAGTAGTCGAGGATTTAACATTGAACTGTAAATAAACAGTATAAAAGGAACCGTCAAAAACTAGAATTTCCTGTTGGCTAAATACTTCCTTACAGTCAGTATAATTTTTAACAGTTTTAAGAGAAACTTAAGAGAGTGGACAAAAGTACAATGGGTAGGTTAATGTGTAGAATTGGATGAAGTGTGATGAGAGAAGATGGAGAGTACTCATGATTATTTTTTTCCCTCTCTTTCTTCACTTGGCCGGCCATGCTTAGGGAGTTTATAGCAAAATTTTGGTTAGTTGAGTGTGCTACAAGATTTCATGATGAGATGTGATGTAATGGTAGTAGTTGAAGAGAAATCATGGCATACTTACCATTTCTTTTCTCCCACCTAGACTGGCCATGCTTAAGGGATTTGAACCCAAAAATTTAGTTGATTAATGGAGTTGATTTGGTTTTAAAAATGATTACTAACTTGTCTATAAATAGAACCATCATAAGCTAGGCCTTACTTTTACTCTATTCTTTTTCTTCTCCACACCAAAACCGGATTCACTACAATTCCAAGCCTCCAAAATTTTCTCCACCCTCCCTCACCAAACTGACCCTTCCTCTAGTCCACATACACTCAAAAGTTTTCATACATTTCACCATAAATCTTAGCTTAAGTTGGAGGGGAAGAGGAGGATTTTAAAGGTTTTCCAGAGAGAGTTTTTCAAGGGTAATTTCTTGAACTCTTCTCCATTATTTTTCTAGCCACCTTTAAGCTTGAAATTATGGATGTAATTTGTGGTCCTTTGAGGCTATGCTTTGTAATAAGGGTGTGTGAGTTTTAAGTTAGGTTTGTGTGTTTTGAGGTTAGTTTGATTAGTATTATGTGGTATGCTTATGTTTAGTTTAGGTTGCTTATTTTGGGTTGGAGGAAAAATTTTTCGGTTACTTTGAATGCGAAAACTAGAACCCTAGAGTAAGATTTTTTAGTATTCTAAGCTTGAACTTATGGTTCTCGATGTTTTGAACGTTTTTCTGTGACTGTGATAAAACCTAATTTTAACTCTAAATGCAAGATTTAAGCCACTTTGCAAAAACGGGATAGGCTGTCCAACACAGTTTCGAGGAAAAAACTGCAGCCACTGTTTTCAGCCAAATGAGGAATTTAGAAGCTGAATTTCAGCTTTTTCTAAAGACGACAATTTTAGATCTCGATGAGAAAAAGAATTGTCGTGAAGAACAGATTTTCAAAATCCTACCCTAATATGTAGTAAAACACAGATTTCAAAAACTGTACAGTTTTAACTAAACAAAACTAACACAATGTTAGTTTTTAACAAAAGGTTATCAAAGAACACGAGATGTGATTTTAGTAAAATACTATGGTTTTAGACCTCGCTTGAACGAGGAATAGCCGTGAAGAAAGATTTAAAAAAAAAAGGGTTTCTACAACATAGTTTCATGATGGTTTACAAAGTAACCGTAAAATGACTTGTGGAATAGTTTCAAAAGTCGGTAGTCGAAAAGAGATTTTATAATGGGATTTTAGTGCTTGTAACTAAATAAGTGAGTAATTGGTTTTATAAAAATCGAATGATAGTTTCTTTTAAAAGCTTAATAGTCTTTCGAGCAAATCATCTCGACATGCACCTACGAGCCCAATACATTAGGTCCTTAGAATTACAAAGATTGGATGTGGGTCCAACGCCTGCATTAGTTCAAGAGACTCAGTTGAGCTTAATTTTAGTGGCCTAAGAGTTAGAATACCGTGAATAAGTTTCTAGGCCGAATTGGGCCTTAATATCATAATAAGTCCAATGAGAAAAATTATGGAGAATAAGTTAGTAGATTGGGTAATTGATTTTCAACCTAGACATATGTATGTTAAGGGCAATTAAGGAAAATAAGATTTTAAGCATTTAATAAATGGATCCTTGTAGTAAATTATCCTTCAGTAAATGAGAGGAATACATACCTTAAGGAAAGAGTTAGATTTCCTTCCTAAGCTGCTAAAATAGAATAGCAAACGACAGTTAATCTTACACTTTCAATGGGTGTTCATTTTCAGAAGTAAGCAAGTAAGAGAATAGACTGTTTGGCCAAAAGTGGATTCCAGCTCTGTAAATCAGGTAAGTAGGAATCTCGCCTACAACATGAATAGATTTTAAAGAAAAAGTTACACATGTTATATATGCATGTTTATGCCTTAAGTATCGTATGCGATGCCATGTCATACTGCATACACCTTAATAAGTCAAGAGGAACTTATAAGAATAGTCTCAGTTGAGTGCCGTACCGGCCTCTGAGAGGGAGGTGACTCAGGCTCCGCAAGGGAGAAGAAAAAAAATATAATAATGTCCTTTGAGAGGGAGGCATTCAGTTCAGTTATAATCGCAGTGTCGTGGGGGACCTTGCAAACCCTCACGTCCCGATTATTATGCGCAAGTGGTATGAGCACTCGAGCCCAAGAAAGATAAGCTAATAAGACTCTTATAAGACATCATTATTAAGCATAATCTATTCATGCATATTTATTCATGTGAACTTACAGTTATTTTGCGAGAGATAGTTCTTACTTGCTGAGCGAAAGCCCATTCAGATATGTTCAAGCTGTAGGTAAGAATCCTATAAGAAATTCTTGAAAGGGCAGTGGCAAGCGGCAGACGAATGGTAGAGATGGGAATGGATACCGCACGCAGTCATTTTCCGCAGTAGTTAAAGTTTTAAAAGATTTTGATATGTATGTCTATAAACTTGTATTTTTAGAAGTTTGTAGTATAATGCTAAGTTTGTGTAAACCGCCAGAATGTATGGCGTTATATTTAGTTTTTTTTTAAAAAGAAAGGGGGAATGCTATATCATTCCTACAACATTTTAAAAAGAATGCTACACCATTCCTACAGCATTTAAAAAAGAATGCTACAGCATTCCTAAAGCATTTTAAAAAGAATGCTACAACATTCCAACAACATTTTAAATAGAATGCTACAACATTCCTACAGCATTTTAAGAATAGATTGCTACATGATTCCTACAGCATTTTAAAAAGAATGCTACAGTATTCCTACAACATTTAAAAAAAAATGCTGCAGCATTCTAGGTAACATAAAAAAAATCTCTCAGATTTTGAAAGTTTCAGAAGTTATAGGTTAAAGGTTAGTTTCAGTGACAGTCAACTCAGCAGGGTCGTCACAGTTAGTATCAAAACCGGTATCCTGCTATCCTACTCCACATCATCATGCGTCTGCTTCGCCATGGCCCAAGTAGGTTAAAGTATGTTTATGTTAATTAGATTGTAGTAGTTAATAGACGCGAACGCTTATTTAATGAGCAACCAAATGTTAATATGTTCGTATGATTAAGATCGTCTTATCAAGGTCTATTCGAGTCTAACTGCCCCAACATTTTATTGTGTTGTAATTCCTTGGGCTGACAAGACGATATCTAGAGAAGTGCAATCATTTGAGGTTACTCCTTTAATGATCGTTGCTAGACTATGAAGCCAAGCAAAGTATTAGAGCCACGTACAACAGTTTGAAAAGAAACTACTACCGAGACTCCCTTTGAGGAAGCCCGTATTACTGCATTGCTATCAGCGGCTTTTCAGCATGGATCCATAATGAGGATCTGAATATGTAGCTTAAAGGTGACGCTAATAAGTAGATGGATGATGTAACACCGTCAAGTTAGATGCGGGTCACATTCAAAGACTATATATGTATATCCAGATACGGTATAGGAAATAGAGCTTCAACATTAAGCAATACCAGCTTATGGTAGATGTTAAGCGACCCATTTAAGATATAATACACAATGATTGCTAGCCTTAAAATGTTTAGCAATCTCATAGAAAGTATCTATGGGTATGAATGTGTTGATAAGTAACTCACAAAGACTATAAGTTAAGGCAAATGTAAAAGAGGTTCGAGATGTTGAGAATCTCATTTGGATATAGGTATAAGAACTAATGCAATGAGTTTAGATGTAAGTAGCAGTTTAAGTGATAAGAAAAGAACACCGAAGGTCACGGAAAAATTGAGGGAGGTTGTTCTAGGTTAGTTTTTGACCAAACTAATCCCTCTACAATGATCTCAAGGGGAGATATTCTCACCCTACTTATGATATAAGAATACATATACAGATTTGTTTAAAATCCCCTAAAAGAATTAAGATTGCATTAGGTAAGGATGATAAAGGTAAAAGTTACCTTTGCAGTGAAAGTATCGATTGGACGAAAATAAGTGATGGCATAAGATAGTGGGCAATTAAGGTATGACAATACACTGTTGATTAACGCCCAAAAGTGATGTTCACAAGCAGTCAATTGTAGCATAGAAGGGCATTCGTATCCACAGAGAGATAACAAAATAACAAGAAAGACTAACAAAATAAGAGCGTTAGAGAAAAGTGAATTAAAGAAAAAGAATAGTTTTTGAGATTTTGTTGCAAATAAAATAGAAAGGAGGAAATTTGTATTAAGGGAATTCAATAGTAAAAATGGTAAGGCGTCGAGAATTCCTAATGTTTCGTTCACCAATTCCAGTTTTGATTCACAAAATAAAAGAACCGAATAAATTAAATCTCTATGTTGACTCCGAAAATATCATTGTTACAAGTTATCCAAAATCGACAATATATCAATTTGACAATATTGCAGTAAAAGACAATTTGTAAAATAATTTGAATGACAAAACATTGCATGACAGAATTACATAAGAAAAGCGTGACTGAACTTATATTAAAATTGGCACACAATATTTTAAAAAGTAATAGAAAAATAGATGAGATTTAATTCATTCAGATGTAGAACTTTATAGCACAAGGAATCAAAACCCCGAATTGGGTCACTCAACAGAAGTTCATCTCTAACCTCACCAAGAGAACTCTAGCCTAGCTTGCAAAACATTCTCACATGTTCTAGAGAGAAAATATGAGACTGACAACAAGACGACAACAAACTGAATATTCCAAGTTGCCAAAAACCTTAGGCTAACCCCTCTATTTATAGTGTTCAGAGGTTGCCTGTCAAATAAGGAAATAAATAGTAAGACTAGAAAATTACAAAAGAAAAGGAAACAAAATAAAATTACACATAAATTAGGAGAAATTTGATTTGGGGAAGAAATCTGGTAATTTGCTCTGATTTTTGGGGAAGGAATTCGGATTCAGCACAGGAGGGACACGTGTCAAAGCTTGATTGGATCAAAGGAATAAAGCGCCACGTGTCACGCGCGGAGTGGAGGAAGTCTGCTGGCATTGGAGACAGCTGGGACCCGCGGAAGCCAGGTGTCACGCGTGGAGAAGAAGGCAGGCTGGCATTGCAGGTGTGGGACCCACGCGGAGGAACGCTTTTAACGCGCTGTGGCTTGCTCGTCAAAGAAACGCGCCTTGATGGTTAGGCTGTGCTTGTAATGCGCGCATGGAGAGTTGGGGGAATACGGGAGAGAGCTGGGCACACTCAGAGGCTCGGCTTGATGGCTCGGCTGACGCGGCTCTCCCTCTGGCTCGTGTGGCTCGGCTGAAAGGCTTAAAAATATGGCTTTCATGACTTCTTCTTGTTTTGCTTTTTACACTGCTTTCATCTGTAAATAATTAAGTAAAAACTAGACAAATTCCAATTAAAAATATTATGAATAAAAATAATGGAATTGTTTAATTAAAGCTTAAATATTTTAATATTATCTAAATCGAAAGTAATATTTAGGGTGCATTTTTAAGCACTGATCACAACCCCCAACCAGCTTATTGCTAGTCTCTAGCAATCCAAGCGCAAGAGGAATCATGTCACAAAGAAAATCTAAGTCTCAACTCGCTTAGTCGCCTGAGTATTTCAAACAAACTGTTAGCAAGAAGTCAAAAGATACTATCAAGATTATTTCAGTCATAACTCCAGAGTCATGTGTGTGTGCTCCAAACCATAACCTTCTTACCACTGACCATAACACATGCAGCTTTGAAAAATTCACCAAGTAAAAGTCTCAACTCCATTGATCTCACAGGTGTCAGAAATATTTGAGTGTAAAGGTTTTCTCTCATGAAGTTGGAAGCGGAACAATCAACGCTCAGTGTGAGGAATGTCAAATTTAGGACAAACAGTCAAACGAACATTGACCAAAAGATAGGTTAATCAACTACTAGAACATTCCACCATTCTTACCACAAACCAACTTTTGGGATTTCATTCGGGTCAAATAGAAATTTACAGAAATGATCAAAGAGCCAAAGAAAAAAAAATGCATAAGAAGATTACTTTTTTTTTTGTTTTTTTGCTTTTTTGTTTTTTTTGGCGAGAGACAACCTGAAGTGAATGTAGAAAGGTGTTCTTTTAACAAACAACTATATAGCATCGAATGTGATAACACCAAACTATAGGATCTGTGAAATGTTGCTCTTGCTGAAATGTTACTCTTGCTCTTTTTTGTGAAAGATAAGATAAGAAATGAGGCTCTATTACATAAGATCATTCCTATCTAACCCAAAATCCATCCCTCAAGCATATGCACCAAGCATACAACTAACCATGTAATGATGTTCTAATAGTGATTTTACCAGCTCAAAAGATCAATGAAAATTCAAAAGTCGTTTTCTCTACTCTCTTGACTCACCAAAAATCAAGCACTTAAACTCGGGAATTTTCTCAGCTGACATGCATTAACATCCATCTTACCACAAGGTTTAGCACGTGCAAAAATAAACTCTGGAAGTCATTCCTTAGCAACCAAGACAGCAAAAATTGACCCAAACCAATCATTTTGAATCATACTCAGACAACTTTGCAAAAATTTTAACCCAAATATCAACATGACAAAAATCACTCTTACGCATGAATATGCTCACCGCCCCTAACCAAAATTAGTTAGTGTCCTCAGTGTCAAAAATTATGAAAATATAGAGAAAGAAGACACCTGGATGATGGGCATTCCACATATGAGCACAGCTTGAGCTTCCTAATATGATTCTCCAAAAACACACATAAAAAAAATGTAAAAAGAAACAAAGAAAACAAAAAATGAAAATATGGTACAGGAGATGTGAGCAAACTACTCAGAGCTGGTAAACGACATCGTCGAGAATGATCTCTTCAACCTGGTTCACCCGCTCTAAGTAATTTTTCAGATGCTGGCCATTTACTTTGAAGATTCTCCCATCGGTCGAGTCTTCAACCTCGACAGCACCATTGGGAAAAATGCATTTTACTACGAATAGGTCAGTCCACCGTGACCTCAACTTACTGGGGTGGAGATGCAAATGGGAATCATAGAGATGAACCCATTGATTCGGCTCAAAATTCTTCCTTAGGATCTGCTTATCATGAGCCGCTTTCATTTTTACCTTGATCCTAGAATTACGCTCTTTCAGCATGTGAATCAATCGTTGTTCTTGCAATGGATCGAGTTTAGATGACATGATGACTGGGAATGTGTCTTCATCTCCCAAGAATGCATGTTTTAAGCCCTCAAGTGGTTGGGCTAGCTTGACTTTTGGAGCCTCCGATGATTTCAGTTTTTCTCATTCTATTGAGAGCTCCTGAAAACATGGTTTCCCAAACTTGGTTCCTCTGTCCTGTGATTCTTTGAAAATGGCAGCAATGGTAGCCACCTCACAAGGATCGGAACTCTCAGATTCAGAATTTTGGAGGAGGTTTTCAAGATCTTCAGAGTTGCTTTGCGGCAGAACCTCCTCCTCGACAAGTGTGCCGATCATAAATGTTTGGTGACACTCGTCGTCATCACGTGGTTGCTTTTGAATATGAAAAATATTCACCTCAAGGGTCATATTCCCGAAAGATATCTTCATGAGACCATTCCTACAATTGTTAAGTGCGTTTGCTGTGGCAAGAAAAGGTCTTCCCAGAATGATGGGAATGGATGACTCCATATTCACCACGGATTGTGTATCCAAGACAAGAAAGTCCACAGGGTAATAAAACTTGTCGACTTGCAACAAAACGTCTTCCACTATTCCCCGTGGTCTCTTAATGTATCTATCGGCCAGTTACAGAACCACAGATGTGGGCTTAATCTCTCCAAGACCCAATTGTGAGTAGACCAAATAAGGCATGTGGTTCACGCTCGATCCTAAGTCTAGTAAGGCTTGGCCGAATTCATGTGTCCCGATCTGACAAGAAATGGTAGGACAACCTGGATCCTTATACTTCGGCAGTGTTTTCTGCTCAATCACCGCGCTCACTTGTTCCGTCAAGAATGCAGTCTTCTTGACGTGGTGCTTTCTCTTTATGGTGCACATTTCCTTGATAACCTTAGCATAGGGCGGCACTTGCTTGATCACATGTAGTAACAAAAGATTGATCTTCAATTGTGTCAAGTGCTCTAGGATCTCACTTTGATTTTCCGGCACTTTCCCAGCAGGTCGGAGAGCTTGGGGGAAGGGCACCTTTACCGGAATTTTTGTTGGCTCTTCTTTCTCCTGAGCCGATTCTTCATTAGTCGAAGTGGTTGTACTTGTCGTTGGCGTGTCAAAATTCATACCACTTTGAGTAGAGATGGCATTAACTTCCTTGATATTTTGACCTTCAGAGTTGGATGTTTGAGCCATGTGTTGTCCTCTCAAATTGGACTGGACTTGTGATGGAAATCTACCTCGCTTTTGAACGGTTAAAGCTTCTGTCAGCTTTGTGATCTGACTTTTTATTTCCTTGTTCTCCTCCACCAGCTGCGTGAGCATTGAATCAACTCTTTGATTCGTCTTATTTTGCGTGTCCATAAAAGCTTTTAGGGTATCGTCTAGAGAATTCCCTTTCGGCTGTATGTTATTCTGAGGCGCAAAATATGTCCTTGGTGGTTGAGATTTTTGCTTTGATCTCCATTGCCCTCCAGATGATTGTGCATGTTGATTCGAATCTCGCCAACTGAAATTCGGGTGGTTTCTCCAACCAGGATTATAAGTCTCCGAGAAAGGTGTATATGATTTTCCGTATACGCCAAAAGCATTGCACTGCTCCTCGTATACCCCTTTCATTTCACTTAAAGTGTGGCAATCCTGAGCTAGATGGCCCATTCCACCACAAACTAAACAAAGCTCATGTGCCTCTGTCCTTGCCACCATGTTGGGTCCTTTACTATCTTTACTTTTGAGGGCCTCAATTTGCTTTGTCAAAGCTTCAACTTGGGCCTTGAGGCTATCCTCTTTCCTCAATTGATAAATTCCAGCTGGTCGGGACCTACTGGTGCTCTCAGTAGCACTCGGTCCAGTCCAAGTATGAGCTTTCTCAGCTAACTCGTTCAGGTACTCGATAGCTTCGTCAGGATCCTTCTGGAGAAAATCTCCATTGCACATCATCTCAACAAATTGACGCTCTCGGATTGTGAGTCCATCGTAGAAATAGCTTACGAGGTGCCAACTTTCATATCCATGGTGCAGACACAGATTTAATAGATCCTTAAAATGCTCCCAAGCTTGATAGAGAGTTTCGTTTTCCTTCTGAACGAAATTCGAGATCTGTCGTTTCAAATTGTTAGTCTTATGGTGTAGGAAATACTTGTTAAAGAATGTCGTTGCCATTTCTTCCCACGTACCAATAGACTTGGGCCTAAGAGAATACAACCAGTTTTTGGCCTTGTCCTTCAGAGAGAAAGGGAAAAACTTCAATCTAATAGTGTTTGCGGCCTCAGCATGGCTGTGAAAGGTGGCCACTAGCTCCTCAAACTCCTGAATGTGTACATATGGATTCTCATTCTCTAATCCGTGAAAGGTTGGGAGAAGTGCAATCATGCCCGGCTTGAAATCCGTAGGTGGTGCATTTAGCGGGAACATGATGCTAGATGGGGTGGCCGTTTGCATTGGGTGCAAGTAATCTCGCAACGTCCTCTGCTGAACTTCCTCGTGTTGTGCCATTGTGAATAGATTTTGAAATGCGAATTCAAACGACGAGTGCGAAGACGGAGACGTAGAAGACGAGTCAGATAGAATTTCACTAGGGGTTTCTAAATCTGGACGTTGAGCAAATCTCCCTAGTTCATCTCTATATCGATGCATTCACCCTAAGCGTTTTTTTTTAATTATTTTTAACTTTATTTTTTTTTTATTTTTAATCAAAAAGAAAATAATTATATAGTAACGTAAATTGTAACCACCGAGAGTGCTCCCAGGAAAGACAATAGCTCTTGGCTCAATGAATAGTCTCCTAGACAGAGTAGCGTTCCCAGGAAAGTTTGGTGGGGCGAGGCCTGCTTAAGTACCAACTTTCCTAGACAGAAGTCCCTCAGATTATACTTTCCACGTAACCACACAATTATTAAATTTTATTGAGTAAATTATGAAATGTAATCTAATTAATGGAAACTATTCCTAAAGTCAAAAG